ATTCCGCTGCGAGAGGGGAGGACGCCGAGCCCCCATACCCCCAAATCATTAGAAACGGTATGAGTGTGGATGTGTATTGTGTAGTGTGTAGTGTGGGTGAGGTGTGAATGTGGTTATGATTGAAAGGAAAACAGTACTCAAACCCACACCCTTCCATTCCAGTGACGGAGCCAGAGGATTAGGGAATTCAGCCCCTCCTACGAACTTTTAAGCCTCCATTAGCGAGATTTTTGATATGTGTATTTTATCCATGAGAGGAACTCAGCCCTCTCTACGGATCTGTGAGCCACCCTAATGAACAAAATGCACGCATCGAAAATTCCGCTGCGAGAGGGGAGGACGCCGAGCCCCCATACCCCCAAATCCTGGCTCCGCCGCTGTTCCGTTGGAGTCGAATGTCGTACCGATCTCTACAACCAAACGTACAAATACTCGTAACTCATCCCAGTGAGTACGTGTCGTTCCATCAACAGTACTTGTCATTATCCAAGAATTGTCGCAAAGAATGACAATTTCGAAACTTTAAGTTTGCGAAGGCATGGAACATCATTTTCTCGTATCTCATACGTAAGGACCGCAGTCATCAACCGTTCTTCTTCAATTGCATTAAGCTCTACAATAAGATATGACGGATTCTCTGCTAAATGACACCCACACGTAAGAATTGAAAACTGTTTACTACCATTAGACGGTGATCAATTTTTATGTAAGATAAAAAGAGAAACTATAAAATCGATACTATATATTTTCAAAAACCAAAGAATAACATAGATGAAGAAATTCTATGCAGCATGTTTTATTCTTCTATGGATATCATCACAAAATCATAGATATAAAGAAAAACGAATCGCATTCGGATCACAAAACATATTTATGTTTACTATACGATATGAGACAGTAAATGGCAGCATAGAATGATTGAAAATAATAACTCTGAAATAGTTCAGAGAAAATGAATATACACCAAAAATTAGGATCAATGATATCCATAATATCAGCTATCAGTATGGCCTTAGCTTTTCTTATAGTAGCTTACTAGTACAAAGAAATTTGGCATATTGTGAGAAAAGTTTCATCCTATATTGACCGATTTCATAGTCAAATATCTCTTACAACTGGCATTTGACTAAACTACATCAGTCGATTACGTTCTACCGAATAGCTGGGATTGAATAGAACAAGTTAATAGTGATCTGTTACCACACACTACTCATCTAGTGTGATGATAGAGAAATGTTTCTAAGTAAAATCTCAGTTTTTTGTTCTCTTGTTCGATTTTTCATATATACTGTGCTCAAGTTGACAGTACCAGACATGTAATGCATCTAGATGATGTCTTTTAGATTTTGACTGATCTTATTAAGCTTGACTTATGGAATCGATGGAGATCCATTTATGGTAGCCAGTTTGTTGTTTCCTAGCGAGCATACTCGAGACAAAGTTTCGATTAATCTCAATCTAAGATTCTCTTACTAACCCTGTAGTATTGAACAATCGAGAGAGAAAGCATAAATCTCTGACATTAATCTCCTGTTTGCAATTGACTTCCTGCACGATGAGATAGACTTAATGCATGCAATAGTTGAGCATAATAACTTTTTATTTAATTCTATCGAGTACAATTGCATGTGTCGCTTTTGATACGCGCAAATAATCGAGATTTATAAAGCTTTTCTAGCATAACAATTTTTACTTACACAAGCCGTCCGGAACTATTTGTACTTGTCCATCAAAACTGGAAACATTTTCGTCCATGGACTCTCGACCAGGTTCAGTAGAAACAGTGAATGACCGACTTCGGTTTTGCACAGAAATATTAGGTAGTGTCGTTGTTAAATTATTAGAATTTGAAGTCATGCATTTTATCTAAAAGAAATTGACAATGAAACATCTTTGCTCATACAAGAGAAGCCTACCATGTGCCATCACCAATACCATGCTTATTTTCGCTACTTACTGAAGCATTTTTGCTTCCATATCATCTGATACTAAACAAAAATGTTTAGCAATTGTATGGTCTACAATAGTTTTGTTCTGCATGTCTATATCGAAGTGTTGATTTTTGTCGGAATGTTTTTCATTCAGAAGAGAATCTATACAACCCAAGTATGTGTGCGTTACAGTTATACTGGCATTGAATTTTTGTTCTGTACGTTGCTTTCAAGTCACATTTGGAACTTTTCTTTTCAGCTTGTTCCAGTCGATAGGGTTGAAGTAAATTACATTTTATTTTCTACATGCATAGGTAATAATTTAGAATCGATCGTTCTGTTACTGCACATGATGTGACTTCTCAGAAAAAAAAACATTCGAGAGAGTGTGTGACAGAGGTCGGGGTATGAGTGTGGATTTGACCATTCTCTTAATCCATACCCTAAATCCATACTCTCCTATGAAGCTTCGGGAGAGCTAAATAGACTATCGAAAGATCAAAGACTGATAATAAATTATTTAAAAAATTGAGAAAAAATTTAATAAAATTGCAATTTAAATAATATCACAGAAGCCTAAAATATATTGTTTACCTTTGTCAGTAAGTCTAAAATTTTTCAATTTTAAGTAGGTAATAATAGTTCTAAGCTAAGTTACTAAACGTTTTGCTCATGGATACAAACTTGGAATTCTCTTCTATCATTACACATATCAATCATTTTATCATTGAACATGGTTCATTTACTTGACCAACAAAAGTGATTTGAAAATAATTAATGTTATCTAATATCCATAATATGTTTGAAGTTTTCGCTCACATTAACATATGTCGTGTTGAGATTGGGCATGGGCTATACCTAAATTACGATGGGTTTTTTTAAACAGATTTCAATTGCATTTTCTAAATACAAAAGTGCTTTCGAGTAGTCGATTGTGCTGATCATACATTAGACCAATATGATTCTAACACTTAGTCATCTCAGCATGTTCTAAAAAAAGAATTTTTTGGCGAATTCGATATGATTTTTCATAAAATGCGATTACATTCGCTTAGTCTCCTGGAATAAATTTGATTCGTCAAGACTCATCATAGATGTTTCCGTACTTATGTTCATCACTTGTCAGCACTATCACAATGCGTCATATAAATCTTTAGCTTAGTTAAGTTACTCTAATTTTAATAAGAATTTCAAAACCATAACAAAGTTTATCATTATGTCGTGGAGAAAATATTATTCTATTAATGATTTCTTATTTTAAGACATTTATATTTATTCATATTTTCTACGAACAATTGTTGGTTTTCTTTTAGCATTGAGTTTCTATTTATGTAATTGATTCTCTTTCAATCATAAAGTAGCTTTGATAAACAAAGAATAGATATGAATTATTGCAAATATTAAATTTTCTAATCTCGTGACTATAAATAAAATGAATAAATCAAAGAAAACACAATCTGTTATATGAATTCTAAACATTCAACATATATATTCAAAATTGATTTGACATTGATCTAAATATTACAATAGTCTTTCTAATTCAATTATATTTGATGACAATTTTATTTTTTTTTGTTTTATTATAAACAATATATTAAAAGTTTATATGACAACATATTTATTCTCACAAAAAAAAAATATATGTAAAACTAAATCAATCATGTACATAATCTTCAAATATTTTCACTGTGCCTTCAATAATTGAATCATAAAAAAATCTTCACGATAAAACATGTTATACTAGAAAATAAAAATTTAAAAATAAATTTATTCAATAAAGACCATAATTTGCATTCATATTTTTATAAGCTTGTAATTCAGTTGATGGAATTGTTGCTTCATATTCAGCTATTGAACAAATGATTATATTAGGTGCCTCAAATGCAACAATTGCAGAATATTCATTGACAAATAAACCAGTTGTCATTACTGTTCCACCAAATGGAACAGCGTTCTCTATATTAAACAAATTACAATATTTCTTTCTATGCAAACTAATGAATGATCGAAAAGTAATTCGACAAAATGTTCGTTCACTTTTCAGCCTATTAAAGGAGTGCCTGCAGTTTGAAAATATTGAGTTAGAATGAAAATTTTATATTTTTTTCGAATATAGCTTAGGAATTTCTCTAGCATTTCGAGTTTAGAATTTAGGAGTCCATCTTTTAGAATTCCGAAAATTATTTTAAATACAAGAAATTTTAAGCTCATATATGAAAAGAATAGACAATTTTTGTTCTAACCCAATGTTTTGAAATTTCTGTAGGCGCTCGTTTAAGAAGCTAAAAATTAAATAAAGATTTTGCCATATTACTGTTCGTTTACTTGCTAATAAAACTAAATGCAAATATGTCCGTCGAATCGTTTAACAAGTGCTTCAATAGCTAATGGTGTATCAGCCATTTGACTGATAAATGCGAACTTACAACCCGTAAATATTCTTTAGAAAGAAAAGAAAATAGATTTTTCACCAGCTGACTTCGGTTCCTTGATTAACTATAAAACAAATCAAGCAACTGAGATCAGCCTAAGAACAATTTTATTCATAGAGAAGATAGATACTTACTTTTTGTCTTGAGTTGCTATTGCTTTTTTTGTACAATTTTCCGATTTTAGCAAGTTTTTTCTTTACAGATTCTTTCGTAGCACCAGTAACCTATTTAAAAACATCAAATCGATTGAAAAGACAATTTATGCAAATATACTGCATATTTAAACTCTCCGGTATCTAATTTATAATGAGCAATGTATTGAGGAAGAATATAATCGTTACGAAAGATGATAAGTTCTTTTTTACTAGGTGAACAATGTGAATCATTACCCTAAATGGAAATAGTAAATACATGGAAATGAAGACATTCTATGATTTTTCATATCTTTAAGATCAAAGCCAAGTATTAATTCTGTACATTGATATACCTTGAAAGAAGCAAGAATAAAAGACATTCTTTTATATTTTTTCTATTGTCTATTCTTTATTTTTCCTTATAATATTTGACATAATAACAATTTTGTAGCACCTTTTATGTAAGACATCGAAAAGCCAGAATATTCCTATATGATACAAAATACATTCAAGAATATTAAAAAAATGAGTTATGTTCGAACAATGAGGCATATTTGTAATCAATTATTTGATATTAAGAAAGACTGATGAGATTAGAGACTTCCAGAATAGATAAAGCATAAAATTTTGTTTCACAGGTAATTAAATTCTGCAAGTTAAAAAATAGCAGACTTTGTAGAAAATTTTGTTCTCAATCAAATGATCCTTTTTCTGGAAGTACTACTGGTTACATAAGACAATACAACATTGATCATAAAAGTCTTCAATTATTTCCGCACGATCCGTGATATGTAGTTTGAACATCGCTCATATGAAAAATTACACTAAAGTATGCTCCTTGCCCAACAAAAAAGCTAATACAGGATAAGAATATTCTTCACCACGTTTTTTCTTTAGTTCTTCTCGTGCTTGACTAAATATTTCTTGAAAACTGCAGTTGAATTTGTTGATTAAAATTGGATTACAAACAAATTCAACTTCGTTTTACTCGTGCTATAGAAAATAAAAATTTTGAAATTGAATATAATATTTGTTTATTTAATTTATTACGTTGTATATCTACTTAATAAATGATAAAATTGAGATTAAGCAAGACGAAAATGTAATTCAGCAGCTGAACCTATTTTTCGAGTATAACTCTTTAATTGAATTAAAAATATTCATTGATTGAGCTTGTTTATAATTTCGCTCGGGAAAAGTTCGAAATATTTAACTTTAGTGCCTTTAAGAATTTCTTCTTCACCTTTCATCAATAATACACCTTCACTAACGTTAACAAAGAAGATTTTGATTTGAACTAGAAATTAAAAAAAAAAAAGATTAATTTACTTTATTTTGAAGTTGTTCAATTTCTTTTTTTCTTTTAATTCAAATGCCTTCAATTGATTTTCTCAATAGTAAAATAAATTCATATTTTTTTCTATTTACTCTTTCGATCATTAAACGTTTTTCATCATCAGTCATTTTCGAAAACGTTTTCTTCAATTTTACATCATATACACTGTCCTATATTAAAAATTCCCTCAAAATAATTCATAATTGATTATTAACTCACATTATCCGTACCATACAGAGTGGTGTGGATGTGAGTGCTGGTATTGCTCTTCTCTTCACTCACACCACACACCCGCAGTCACAGCCACACACTCACACCCACATTCTTTCTTTATTTATGCCGATTTTCCGGTCAAAGCATTGCCAGGCTCTTTTCTATGACTCTACAAAACTTTGAGAAGTTCGCTTTTAGAAAATGATAGATCACATATATATTTGTTTATACAAACGGTTAGATTCTAGAAAAGAATATTTTCGTATATGTCCGCCTGACTTCCCACTGTAAGCTGTCCAGTATCTCATGGGAGAAAGGGAATAAATTTATTCAGTTTAACTTTCTATCTATTCATCTATTTATCTTGATAGATGCTATCCGCCTAAAGAGAATAATACAATAAATTAGTTCAGTTCACCTTTGTTTTTCTTCTTTAACATATCTCCACAGTTTTCCAGAACCTTATGTGAGAAATCGATTAAGTTAGCTTTCTTAATTTGCTTCTACTTCGTTAAACTAATCTGATATTTTTCGAGTATCTCATGAGGCAAATCGAACGAGTTAAATTTCTTCACTTGCATTTTCTTAATTAAATTATCCTGATAGATTGTTCAAATCATATGTGACACATCGAATAAGCTAGTTTTATTTCCTTTCCTTTTCTATATTAACTTTTACTAGCAAATTTCCAACATCTGACGCGGAAAATCGAGTAGGTGAGTTTTTCTTGCTCTGATTTTTCTTCTTTACGTTATCCAGATAGTTTTGAGGCAGCTCACAAGACAAATGGAACAAGTTAGATGGATGTGGGTGTTGGTATGGGTCTGAGCGTGGGCATGTGTGGTGTGGGTGGTGCTGCGGGTGTGAATGGCGAGAAGACAACACTCTCACCCATTCACCTCTACCGACATCTCCACTAGAGATCTGCGTGACCATTCCTTCGTGACCAAAACTGGTCACGACGAATGTGCCGCAGTTTTCACTGTCGTAGATCATTATATGCTCGACTTTTTTTGTGCCATTTTGAAGAGCTTAAAATTCTGAGTAGAAAAAATCAAACAGAATTATTTTTTCACATCCACCGTGGAAACTATTATCGAAGAATTTTTGTTTTTTTTAGTCACAACGGAATGGTCACGCAGATCTCTAATCTCCACCTATTCACCTTCACTGACACCCCACCCACTCACACCCATACCCACATCCCACACCCCACACCCACCCACACCCTCTTATCATAAAGTTTTCTTTTATTTTAAAGAAAAACAAAAATTCACCGCAATATGACGTCAATACTTTGTATGCGCTTTGTCGCACTTTTTAACTATATGAAACAGCTAGGATAAGAATAAAGAATGCGAAAGTGCTTAAAAAAACATCAAACATTGAAGTAACGCTGTTAACGCACACTGTTGCCATTCTCCTTCTTTGTTTTTGGACGTCACAATCTTCCAAACGACTACATAAAAGCATCTACAATTGATTGATGAAGCATCAATCAAAAAAATTGACGTCAGCCGTTGGACCATTGTTATTCTACATTCCATAAAAATATTTTACATTGAAAAATGGGTTGCGTTTTTACTGCTATGTTTGGATCATATACAGAAGCAGATATTGAAACGGAACTCGCAAATTTCACACCTCATTTACCCGTAGCCGAGCTTATGCATGGTGGAATCATTAAACTCGAAGGTGCCAATGGATTTTTCAATCCGAACTCTCTTCTTGATCCTAGTTGGCTGAAAGGTAAAA